ACTGCAAGCCGCGTGATAGGGCGCGAGGCAGAGAATGCATACTGGTTGCTGCATGAGGGTGTGCCTGTGTTAGTCAATACCAGAAAGATGAGGCCTGCGGATGAGGTCGAAGTAGCTGCACGTCGAGTTCTGACCGGAGAACCCGTTCTGCCAGGTTCCATTGTCCACGGTCCAGAGCAACGTTATCTCGACGAAAGAGATAAGGATCCAGTAACAGCGCCTTCTACCCCCAGACCGAACACTGGCGTAGCGTCGGCTCTCTCTACTCCCATGAGAGTCGCAGCGGCCGAGAGTCCCGCCATCACGAGCAAGGAGATTTCGCCCAGTGATAAGACGGGCAGGGAAAGAACTCGTTCCCCGCTCAGACAAAGCTCCAGCGCGCTGATGGCTGAGGCGCAGGACACCGATCCTGTAGAAACAAAGGCAAGCGAGCTCCTGGAAGCAATGGCCTTCGAGACGAGCCACTGTCTCGAGCTGCTCAGGTTGTGCAAGGAACACAAACCGAAGAAGACGAAAAGAGCGATGTTCCAAGACGCAACAGATGATGAGCTTGCCGCTTGTTTCGGTGTTTATAGGCACGGTGGTTTTGTTGGGATTTCTAATCCTACTAAGCAACGCCCGTGTTTTGTGACCTACTTGAACCGCTTCCTGAGGCACCACTGTGAGAAGGCAGGCTACACCGAGTTCACTTGGAATGGGATCCAAGTAAGCGAATCGCGGGCAAGTTTGCACAAAGACAACTCCAATTTGAAGGGGTCGCTCAATTTGACCATGAGTTTGGGAAATTATTCGAAAGGAGGTCACCTGTGGATAGAAAACCCTGAGGGGAACACAGTGATTGACGTTTGTGGCAACCTTGTTCCCGGGACTCTACACACCACTCGAGGCAAAGTCCTTCGTTTTGATCCAAAGAAACTCCATATGGTGGAACCCCATGAAGGGCAGAGGTTCAGCATCATTGGGTTCACTATGAATCACTTGGGAAAGTTGCGCGCAGATGAACAACAGATGATGGAAGACTTGGAGTTCCCACAACCGCGTATTCCAACAACCCAAGTAGAGCAGCCCCGTCAGGAGGAGCCTGAGCGAGCGGACGACATGCACTCCTCAGACGACGAGGAAGTTGGAACGGGTTTCCTAGCCTCACTTTTGGACTACCACAACAGCCCGGCCGAGGTGCAGTTGGGGTTGGACGAGGCTATGCTCGCAGAGTGGGCCAAGTATCAGGAATTTCACGCTGTGATACCTTGCTCAAAGAAGCAAGTGCAGGAGTTGCTTAGCCAAGGACACATCTGCGTGCCCACCAAGTGGGTTCTCACCGACAAACATGAACATTTGAAAGGCACCCCCGGCTATCGTCCCAAATACAAGGCTAGGCTAGTCGCATGCGGGAATTTCGAGCACATCTCCACAGGGGAGGACATTCGTGCAGATTCCCCGACAGCCGAGCCTGAAGCACTGGCTTTCATTTGTTCCTGGGCATCCTCACTCGGTTTGCGAATCAAGGCAGCCGACATCACGAACGCCTACTTTCAGGGTAAGCCGCTCGAGAGATTGCTGATCCTCAAGGCTCCTAGCAACCCCAAAGGCGTTCCGGACAAGGAAATCCAGGAATCCGGCTACATGATCGCCCGTGTCCCAGTGTATGGAACGACCGACGCCGGCCGAAACCTCTACCTTCGCATAGTCGAAGAGACAAAGTGCATCGGACTGAAGTCATCCCAGATCATGTCCGCGCTGTACTACGCGCACGACACAAGCGGCCGGCTGTGCGCTATGCTGTGCACTCACGTGGACGACTTCTTCTGGGCAGCGTTCGGTGAGGGCGAGTTGAAGATCCAGCAGTTGCTGGACCACTTCAAAATCGGGAGGATCGAAGAGGGTAGCTTCAGGTTCTGTGGCAGAGAATACGCCCAGCACCCCGATGGCACCATCGAGATCAACTCAAGGGACAACACGCGTGCCATCGCTCCCCTCGAGATCCCCAAGGGTGCAAAGTTGACGGCACCTGTCACACAAGGACAGAGGACGGCGCTTCGGTCCGTCATAGGTTCACTCGCGTGGGTGGCCCGGGCTAGCAGGCCCGACCTCGCGTACCGCGTCAACGCGTTGCAGCAGCGAGTGACCGTCGCGACCATCGACACGATGAGAGAGGCCAACCGTGTGGTCGCACTCGCCTCGGGCGACGCAGAGCGCAGCATCGTGTATCGCGCCAAGATACTGCCGTGGAGCAGTGGCCCCCTCGCAGTAGTCACGTTTTGTGACGCCTCTTTTGCTGCTGAAGCTGGGTACAAGTCCCAGAGGGGGAGGTTGCACTACCTCACTGACGCGGAAACAGCACGCGACGTGAACGCACCCAAGCACAAGCTTCACCTGGTTGCATTCGGTAGCTCTACGATGAAACGAGTCTGCCGTGCGACACTACAATGTGAAGCGTACAGCCTGCAGCATGCCACCGAGCACGGAGACAGGATCCGTGCGACACTCCTAGAGTTGCAAGGCAAACTGCCGTCGCTGCATGACTGGAGCGAAGTAGCGCCGAGAAAGATGCTACACCTGCAGTACTCCGACTGCAGATCGCTCACAGATCATTTGCTGTCGTCGGTACCCAGACCAGTGGAAGACAAGCGTCTTGCTATCGAAATGACAGCATTGCGCCAAGCACTGTGGGTAGACGAGACACCGACGAGCGAAGCCTTCGCACCATTCGGTGACATCCTGCGATGGATTCCAACCCACCTTCAGCTGGCTGACTGCTTGACCAAGAGCATGAAGCCCAAGCTTCTGAACGACGCCTTGGAGAGCAACGAGGCCGTTGTGAGAGAAGAAGCTCCAGCTGAGTGACGAATTTCACTTCTCTTGAGGCGCACTCATCCACTCGTTGATAAGACGGGTGTGAGATTTTCCTGTACACAAGCGCCGAGTTGGATTTCGTATAGAGCAGAAGCTGTTAGGCGAACACTTGTATAGGCATGAACAAACATGCAAGCGTCAAATAGCATTCATGAGACAAGTTCCTGCATGACAGGCGCCTTGGGCTCAATCGGAAAAAGCAAGCTACGTAGTCTAGTCACTGTGACTCCGGCCCCAGTACCCCGCTTCTGAAAACCCTAAACCCTAAACCCTAAACCCTAATGTCGTATCCTGATTAGCGTGGACCCCTCCAATAATGAAAAGTGTTCGAAAAATAATTCAGGGGACAAAAATTTGGTTGCCCCCCTACAATAATGAAAAGTTTTTTCGGAGAGGGAGAGGAAGAGGAGAGGAAGAGGAGAGGAAGAGGAGAGGGAAGAGGAGCGAAGAGGGAATGAAGAGGAGCCGGTCGGGGGGGCCCGGGGCCGAAAAGTAGTTTGGGGGGGTCCTTTTTTTTGTGACACTATTGCGGGGGTGGATTTAGTTTGGGGGGGGGGGGGCGCCCACACTAATCAGGAGACCACATTAAACCCCAAACCCTAAACCCTAAACCCTAAACCCTAAACCCTAAACCCTAAACCCCTCTGTTACTCCGAAGCCGTGCAGTGCCTGGAACGGGTGTTTCTCAAGGGACTGCATGTGTGTTTCCTCACCTTAGCAGGATTTTGTTTTTTTTTGTTGGGTTACTTAATGGGATTTTGGGGGGTTCTTTGTGGGTTACTTAAGAAGATTATTATTATTTTATTATTATTAGTTTTTTGTTTTTTTTTTGTTGGGGAGGGGGGGGGGGGTGGGTTTTCAGGCTTGAGGGTTCATGCTCCTTAAGTAGGAATTATAGTGGGATTGGGTATCTAGGGTTGATACTCCTTAACGTAGGAATCTACAGTAGGATTGGCTATATGACCCCCCACTTTATGGGTTCGTTTGGTCCCGAAGGGGGGTTGCAAGAACGGCTTGCGCACATCGCGGACGCAAATAGCAGCCTGTTGTCTGCTCACCTTATACACGTTTGAATTCGTTGAGACATGCATTGTCTTCAAACATGTGTTTGTCAACGTGTTTTTTGGGTGTATGCGCTTTAGACACCAATGCATGCGATTCATGTTTTGTTTCGACTTGCTGACGCCCGCAAAGAACCAAGTGCATGGATTTCTTTTGTTCCAGCGAAATTCGAACGACACAAGTTCTATAGACATCTCCTTAGCGGGCGCCTGTCACGTATGAAAGACCTACAAGTAGGGATTTAGGCACCCTGTCAAAATCCCTCTGAGCAGGGTGATATAGGGGAGGTAAGGTATTACCTAATTATGTTCCCGAAACCCTAAGGAAGAAGTTTAGGGGTTTGTTTTGCTTGCAGCAGCTTCTGAGCTCATGCGCGGGACGACATCTCATCCAAGACAGGGACAAGCATGGTCCAACAAGAAACGCTCTAGGTTTTGGGTGTTTAGGGCTTTGGGCGTAGGGCTTACGGTTCAGGCTTGAGGGTTTAGGGTTTTGGGCTTGGGGTGAAGGGTTCAGGAGCCAGAGTAGTGAGGGCAAGCAAGGAGATTTCTCGTAGTGGATGGCGGATGCGAGTGAACAATCTCTGCTGGATGGCCGTGGAGACAGGGCAAATGACCGCGAGGCTGCTGTGGCATTCATGCGCCTTAGGGTTTAGGGCTCATGGTTTAGGGTTTAGGGTTTAGGGTTTAAGGTTGAGGGTTTAGGGGACAAGGTAAAGGGTTTTAGGGCTTAGGGTTTTTGGTTCTCAGGGTTGAAGATTCTATAGGCACGACGGTTCTAGGAGAGCTCTGCTGGCGAGTTGGCCTCTCAACCTCCATCTCCTCAACCCTGAATACCCCTAGCAGGATATCCCCCTGTTTAAGGGCTATAACTTGGGTCATGAGGTCCCCCAACATGAGCATTCGAGGCACAGCCCCCACTAATACCCATGCCGCTTAGGGTTTATAGGTTTTAGGTGAAGAGCATGCCGCCACCGCAAAATCTCAAAGGTATCCATAAGGGCCGCCTAGAGCCCCCTGAAATAAGACGATTCCCTCAGAAGTAGGCGTTGGGTGCGGTTTGAGACCTCCGCATCGAGTTGTTAGATGATTGAGATGTATCAGTGCATACATCTGGGTCTGAGTTTGCTTTTCGCAGTGGCGGGGGGGTTTCCGAAACCTTTGGGACCAAACCCAAGTATATTTGGGTGTATATCCCATACCCTACACCCTCTACCAATTTTTGGAGCCCCCCCCCACCCCCCAATTTACCTTCGCAGGGTATTCAGAGATTTAAAGGCGGCTCTAGGCAAAAACCTTCGAGCCCAAAGACTAGCCCTGCCGGTTTAGGGTTGAAGGTGTAGGGTGTAGGGTTTAGGGTTTAGGGTTTAGGGTAAACACCGAAACCCCCACATGGCGCAGGCATCGAAGACCTGGTTTTACCTCTTCCTGGGCAGCTGCGCTTGCAACTTGTTCCTTGGGCTACCTCCTGCTATCTGGAGAGGGTCCATTCATGGTGGTACGGTATGATTGGTTTAGGGTTTAGGGTTTGGGGTTTGGGGTTTAGGGTTTAGGGTTTAGGGTATTCTCATTGAAGTAGGTATCTGAAAAGCCAAATCGACTCTGGCTTTCGGTAGGGTTTCATAGCACGAGAAGCGGACTCTCTTGGAAGAAGTCGTTTAGTTTAGTTCAGGAGCTGAAGAATTGCCACGGTTTAGGGTTTGGGGTTTAGGGTTTAGGGTTTAGGGTGCCAATATTATGTATGCCCCTTGCAGTTGTTATACAAGTACAACGAAAACTACCCGCACGACCACTACGAACCCTCAGCCCAAGTCCCTTAACCCCATTCAGTACGCCCTTGTATCCGCCAATCCTGAACATCATAAACCCTAAATGCTAAATCCTAAAACCTAGACCCTAAACCCTAAACCCTAAACCCTAAACCCTAAACCCTAAACCCTAAACCCTAAACCCCCTACACACCTTATTCGTGGCAAGCCAAGGTTGATGCTGGTTCTTGTGGGCTACTTGCTTTGGTACGCCATCTTCCGGCCGCCCAGCACCAGCGTGTGCATGCAGGAAGAGGGTGGGAGGATATCCTAAACCCTGAACTGATAAAACCGAAACCCTAAACCCTACACCCCAAAACCTAAACCCTAAACCCTAAACCCTAAACCCTAACTCCTCCCCAAAACAACATCCTGAAACCTCGAGGTGCTTCTTGGGGGTTTCAGGGGGTTCAGGCCTCGACTGTCCATTCAAATGTCCTGAGAGTTTCAGGGGTACTTTACAAGGTATAATAACTCAGCACTTTGGCTAGGACTGAGATTTGGGTTTAGGGTTTAGGGTTTGGGGTTTGGGGTTTGGGGCTTGGGGCTTGGGGTTTGGGGTTTGGGGATACTGGGACCCAGAGTAGGCCCTTACAAGCCCCTCCAATTCAAAAAGGGTACCCTGTTTATTCCTGCGGGTTTCCTGGGTCTCCGTAGCTATAAGCCACCATACAGCCCCTGAAGCACCCGGATGTCTAATGTGGTTACAATTGACTTATACGTTCCGTTCTGATTGGGTTAAGAAGTACTGATGAACCTCCCCAAACCCCAAACCCCAAACCCCAAACCCCAAACCCCAAACCCCAAACCCCAAACCCCAAACCCCAAACCCCAAACCCCAAACCACAAACCACAAACCACAAACCACAAACCACAAGCCCTAACCCTAAACCCTAAACCAAGTCCTGCAGAGGACTACCATGACAACCTCGCCAGGGCCAGGAGCAATGTGTCCGGGGTGGTGGCCATGCACTCCCTGCAGAACGCTTCACAGGCCTTCGAAAGCACCTTCGACGCCACAACAATGTACAGTAGGTCCTAAACCCTGAACCCTAAACCCTAAACCCTATAGTGTGCTTGAGTTGCTCAAGAGTCGGCTCCTGAGCTACACTCATGCGGATTGATCCGAAGCATGACCCCTTTTGTTGTACCCGCAAACCAATACTGTAGGCCCTAAGCCCTAAACCTTAAACCCTAAACCTCCCCCTAAACCCTAAATCCTAAACCCTAAACCCTAAACCCTCAACCCTAAACCCTAAACCCCCCCAAGCGGCCTTGCAATCTAGAGCAACCGCCCCCAGCAACGCGCAACGCGTGGAAGGCGAAGATAGACTGCTTCTTGGCAAAGTACAAGCGAGGCTTGGTCGGACAATTGATTTGGGGCTTAGGGTTTAGGGTTTCGGGTTTAGGGCTTAGGGTCATGAAGCTCCTCAGATGTGTCCCCAGCCAGGGATCCCAACAAACTCATAATCTGAGGTGAGTTCAGGTATGATCCTTGAGGAAGGGGTTTTAGGTATATCATCATCGACATGCCTTGCGGACGTATTCTGTCGGTGTGATTTTTTGCACACCGGATCCTAAACCCTAAACCCTATCGGCCCGACACTGCATCCTGGCCTCCCTAAACCCTAAACCCTAAACCCTAAACCCTAAACCCTAAACCCTAAACCCTAAACCCTAAGCCCTAAACCCTAAGCCCTAAGCCCTAAACCCTTTCAAGGGGGATATGTGACCCAAGGTTCCCTAATGCTCCCCACTACTCCCTAAGGCTCCCTAAGCTGTTGTAAGGTTTCTAGGTACCTACCCGCCATGGACCCCCCCCTAAACCCTAAACCCTAAACCCTAAACCCTAAACCCTAAACCCCTCCCTTAATAAGGACCCAAAGAAGCCCGGTGCTTGGAAAACGACCTGCGTTTCAGGCTTTGAGTAGCGAGGGCTGGGTAATAAAGCCCTAAACACTCAAGCCCTGAACCCCCCCAACATCATAAAACCTCTAAACCCCAAACCCTGAACCCTCAAGCCCTAACCCCCCCAAAAAAAACCCTAAAACCCCTGAACCCCAAACCCTGAACCCGAAGCCTTTGTACACTTACCCTAAACCCTAAACCCTAAACCCTAAACCCTAAACCCTAAACCCTTACAAGAGATCAAGGTTCTGCCAAGTACGGGGTTCCGTGCCGGGGAGTCTGTTCGGGGATCCAGGCATCAGGAAGCCTAGGAGTACAAAAGTAGGCCATACCTTGGGGACGAAATGAACCCTAAAAGGGTTTATGGTTCATATACCCTAATAGGAATTTTAGTAGTATAGGGTATATGACCCACATTTTAGGGTACATTTCGTCCCCAAGGTAGGGTCTAGGGCTACCGGCTGCTCCCTGATGTATACTCCTACGCCATTCAGCCTTAAGTGTATATGGCTCTAAGTACATGGTTCTAAGTACAGTTATACATGGTAGCCCAGTGGCACCCTTTTCCTTTTTTTTGGTTCAAGGTTCCATTATAAAGTAACCAACCCCAAAAAGGGTGCCCTTATTAACAATTGGTTCTGCGTACAGTTGTAGATACAGGTATACTTGGTTAGTAAGTACCACAGGGTCATGTTAATGGCTGTGTCTATGCGGGTGTCCTCGGTCTCTGTTTAGTGTCTAGGGTTTAGGGTTTAGGGTTTAGGACACTGAGGAATTACTTTTGACCTCGCGAACTATTCCGACGACCCACTGGCCTACCAGTGGAAAATGCAGATTGGCTCCAAGGAGCACATGGGCCGGGGGGGGATGGGTGGGGGGAAGGGTTCAGGGTTTAGGGTTTAGGGTTGAGGGTTTAGGGTTTAGGGTTTAGGGGTTTAGGGTTTAGGGTTTAGGGTTTAGGGTTTAGGGTTTGGTTCAGGGTTTAGGGTTCCAGGGGGGGATGGGCGGGGCGGGTGGGGTCTGAATCCGGGTTCCCTTGAGAGGGACCTTGTAGGCAGGGATCAGGGTTTCGCGATAAAGTTTGGAGTTTCGGGTTTTGGGGTCTTAGGGTGCAGTGTCCGGAGTTTTTGGCTCACCTGGCCCAGCCTGGGAGGGGGCTTTCTGGTGCAATTGAGACTAGCATGTATAGGGTGAGCAACCCCAGATGAGAAGTCGTTTGAAAGAAGGACATCGTGTAGAGGTTCACAAAGGACTTGTGACATGCACGTAGCCTGCGTCGCACATACCCGTAGCTGTCGCGAAGCCTTATCGATTCGCAAGGTCGGCTTTACAAGATAGTAGCACATGATGGACCCCAGAGACTAGATTTTTGAGAAGTCATAACCAGAGCTGCGCGAACTTGAGCCCACAGCTACAATGCCTCATGAACAACCCGAAGCGCTAAATCATGGTCCGGTTTAAGGGGTGGGCTCAGGGGTGTTAGGGGCTTCTGGGGAGTTTTAAGGGTTTTAGGGAGGAGTTTGTGGACCACATCCAGTACAAGGGCCACTAAATCATGGGTTCCCCTACTACCCCCTCTATACTACCCCCTAGCTTCCCCCCCATAATCAAGGCTATTTAGGGATAATTCAGCGCCTAATTGAGGTTTTTTAAGGGCGGGGGGGGGGGTTTGTATAGAGGGGGGGTAGTAGAGAAACTGATGACTAAACGAATGCTTCCATAGGTCTTTATCCAGACTGTCCGGCTACGCAGGTGAATAGCAGTGCATGAGTACCCCTTCAAAGATCGGGAGACTTAGTAAGTACTCATTAATTATGGTTATGCAGCAGGACCCCATGCTGGGTCCCTCTTAGCGTATTCATAACGCTTAGAAGTCTACTGTGTGCACACTTACTACTTCCCCCGATCCTCCAAGCAGGAGCAGATGTCGGAAGTGTTCGCGGAGCGGCGTCAGGCACGCTGAGATGTACACCAGGAACGAAGCAAGCCAGAAGCATTGTGTTGTCGCAGTTGTCTCTTTTGTTGACCCCTTAGATTCTACCCCCCCCCTCCGACCCCCAACCTGAATCCATACCTGAAGAATCCAGCACCTACTATGTTGTAGGTTACAACCAAAGTCCTTCTTCTTCAGATCAGTTCTCGGGTTCAAGGTTTCCTTCAATATCAAACCCTGCACCTCATGTTCTCCCTTCGGGCAGGGCATTCGGAGCTTGTTTCGAGTCAGGTTTTATTAAGGGGTATAGGGAGGGGCCCCCTGGAAGGGACCCTTAATCTTATTCCCCAACAAAAAGCCGCTATATATACCTTACATGGTCCCTATATACCTAGTAGCTCCTAAACAACCACCAAAAAACCCCTGAAGTCCCATAGACGGGTGCCTCCTTTAGTCCCTTGATGTTAGGGTCAGGTCACGTGATTTTTTTTGGCCAAGAGATCCCAGGCTCTGCAGCCAAAAAGCGTCATGTTCAAAAGAGCAGATCCGTCTACACCTGAAACGCCTAACTGTGTGCTCTGGTTGCTCTCGTCATCCTAAACCCTAAACCCTAAACCCTATACCGCTGGACTCAGAAGCGTTTTGTTACTGAACAAGCTTGCAAGTTTTTCTGCCCAGATGATGTCCGCGGACAATTTCGCTCAGCTCTATGACCTCCTGCACCTAGGTAGGGTTTAGGGTTTAGGGTTTAGGGTTTAGGGTTTAGGGTATAGGGTTTAGGGTTTAGGGTTCAGGGTTCAGGGTTTAGGGTTTAGGGTTTAGGGTTTAGGGTTTAGGGTTTAGGGTTTAGGGGTAGGCCCACGGTACGTTTTAATTTCCTTTTCTTGTTCAAGAGGATCTCGTTTTCGGAGTATTCCCCCAAAACCTTCTTTTCAGAGCGTTCCTAGGGGGCAACCCAGGTTCTACGACAATAACCCCCCAAAACCCTATTCTAATTATTAAGGCCCCTATAGTAATCCCTATACCCCAAGGCTCTTGGGACCTCAAAACCCCAGGAATTGAGACCCCAGAACCCTCCATAAGAGGTACCCGTCCCTCTGTAGGAGGGTTCTTGGAGCCTACAGGGTGAACCCCTATAAATCGAAGTGAAGCCCTAAACCTTTATAAATCGTTAAACCCTCCCCTAAACCTTCAACCCTAATTCCTAAACCCTAAACCGTAAACCCTAAACCTTCTGGGGTGGCCGACCCAGGTATGCAGACGGCGTCTGGGCTTACCTGCGCCCTGGCCTTCTGGGGTCGGTGACCGGGAGTAGGGTTTAGGGGTTTAGGTAGTTCGGATTCAGGGGAATTAGGGTTTTTGGTGAGTAGGGTCTCGGGTTTCAGGTCTTCATTAGGGTTAAGGGTTTGGGTTTAGGGTTTATTGTAAGAACCGGGGTAGGGATAGGGGTTGGAATTGCAGGGTTTACAGGGAGTCTAGGGTTTATTATCTGTTCTAGGGATTTGTGGGGTTTGTAGGGTTTGCCAGGTTTACTAAATTTACAGGGTTTGGGTGCCCAAGCGAAGGGGAGACCTTATTTTCCTTCACCGTGGAAGATCTGTTTGCACACGCTGCAGCTTCCAGACCAGAGGTTCTCCGGATGGGTTTAGGGTTCAGGGGGTTCCATGTTTAGGGTGTAGGGTTTAGGGTTGAGGGTGTAGGGTTCTAGGGTTTCAGGGTTTTAGGGCTTTAGGGTTTTGGGGTTTTAGGGTTTTAGGGTTTTAGGGTTTTTGGGTTTTAGGGTTTTAGGGTTCTAGGGTTTTAGGTTTTTAGGGTTTTGGTGGCCCTGTAAAGGGGGGGAGGGGTGTAAAAACACGCAGGCCACCCAGCTAAGTGCATCAAGAGCCCCCAAGAGCCGAACCGTACCTCCCTCCTCGCATCCAGACCCCCGACTTAGCAGATTTTGGGGCCTGAGCCCTAAACCCGAAACCCTAAACCCCTACCCTAAACCCTAAACCCCAAACCGCAAGGTACTCGCAGTACTACCCCAAGGACGTTCAGGAGGAGCTCATGCAGGATGGGGAAGAGACATGCGCCAGAAGTGTTCTCGTTGGGATTTTTCGGGTTTAGGGCTTAGGGCTCAAGGTTTAGGAGTCTCTCTCTGCTGTCTTCAACAACCCACCTTCCCTTCTGAAAGCTATTATAGCTTCCCGCAAAAAGACTGCAGCCCTCCCCCCCCCAAAAAAAAAGAAAGAATGAATAAGTACATAAGATGGAAAAGAGGTAGGTTAGAAGCCTTCAGGTACCCTAGCTAAGTTCAACCCCTATAGTAGTGATTTGTTACAGCGTTCAGACTCCTAGGCACTGAGCCCTAGACCACTAGGATAGTCTATCCTATGAAGTATTGGGGCCAGTGGGGCCCCAAAGTCCCTATATACACCCTAAACCCTAAACCCTAAACCCCAAACCCCTAACCCTAAACCCTAAACCCTAAACCCCTGAAGGTGGACCTTCGGGAAACCTCCATGATGGTCACCATGGTCAAGATGCCAAAGTGCATCGACGAGATGGTGGACACCTACCGCCCCAGATCGGGCAAAGTTTAGGGTTTAGGGTTTAGGGTTTAGGATTTAGGGTTTAGGGTAAGATAGCTTCGTCAAGGTACACTGCTTCAGTCCTCGTAGGGTTTAGGATTTGAGGTTTTGGGCTTGGGTTATACAATTTCGGCAGAAGATAGCTTGCCCAGACCCCTGGGAGGATCCGAAAGATCCGAAAAGTAGAGCCCCCAAAGAGTACTCTGTTCTACTGTCGGGTCATTTTGAGGAACCATTAGGTATTTCTGAAGTCAGCACTCATGGAAGATGTGAGGCTTTGAGAACTACGAGAAGTACTACTACTACGCCAGCGGCGGGGCCCGTTGTTTAAGAACCGCTTTGTCTTGCTTTGCAACCCTAAGCCCTAAACCCTAAACCCTGAAACCCTGAAACCGAGGCCATGTACGACCTTTCAGATTCACTCTTTTGGTCCTAAGCATGAGCCGCTCCGTAACCCAGACCTCTGGGAGGATCCGAAAAGTAGAGCCCCCAAAGAGTACTCTTTCCTACTTTCGGGTCATTTTGAGGGACCCTTAAGGGAAGAGTACCCTTTTCCAACCCTTAAGGGGATCTACTTTTTGGATCCTCCCAGGGGTCTGGATTTTGGTGCATTTGACACCGACCCAGGTAACGCGGCTGACACCGCCCGCATGCACCAGACGTCAGAAGAAGAGTGCGACACAGTGCCGTCCTAGCCAAGGCTGCCTGCCATCGCACCAGCGTTTGGGGGGGGGGGGGAAAGAAGAAGAAAAAGTTCAGAAACCCTAAACCCTAAGCCCTAAACCCTGAACCCTGAACTGGCCTAAACCCTGAGACAGGCACCCCAATCCCCTAAACCCTGTCCATCGAGCTGCCAAGTACTTGACCATGCCCTCCAGTATGCCGCCTTCGGGGGTTAGGGTTTAGGGTTTTGGGTTTTTAAAGGTTTAGGGCTTAGGGTGTGGAATTTATTGTGTGTGTAGGGGGTTCAGGTTTCTGTGGGGTGTGCAGGGTTTATGGGGGACTAGATGGGGGCACGGCTAGAATCCGTACACCCTAAACCCGTGACTGAAAAACTGAATGAAGATCAGAAGCCATGCGGGAGCCCTCAAAGCCTAAATGTCTGCAACTTCGACAAAAACGCTAAAGCCCCAAAAGGCCCTGGAGACAAAAAAGAAAGGCACCGGAGCTGACGTAGAGAATCCTTGTGGAAGTATGCGCCGAAAGACCAGACAACGAATAGGGCTAGTTAAGAAGAACCATTACGAGCCCTAAGCCCAAGATCCTGAATCAGTTTCTGGACCATGGGAGGGGCCCGGTGTTTGAGGCGGGCTTCGGGGTTATCAGGGAGAAGGATGCTGGCCTTCACTCGTTTAGGGCTTACTGTGTAGGGTTCGGAGTGCAGCACTACATGATAACTTCTCTGAAATCCGGCCCTTTTTTGGTTGGGTTCCTCATCATAACGCGGCCCCTATTATTCCATGGTATTTGGGGACCATGATTTCAAGAACTGACCACATGAGCTTCCTTCAGTACAACGGGAAGGGGGGGGAGGGCGATGGCTTCGGCAGTGCCAGGACGCGCATGTTCGTTCGTCGTCGACCCCTCTTGCAGACCTGATGCATCGTCGCCTTGGGATGATCTTCGCAGTGCTCTCCTGCATGAGCCCCTGAGGGACTACATGAACCCTAAAAGGGTTTAGGGTTCATATACCCTAGCATATGATCCCCATTTTAGGGTTCATGTCGTCCCCAAGGCTGGATGAATCACGAGCACGCCTAGGATGCTTCTAGCCAGCTTCTTCAGAAGAGACGTGGTTGATATAAAGATTCTGAAGGCGTTTAGGGTTTAGGGTTTAGGGTTTAGGGTTTAGGGTTTAGGGTTTAGGGTTTAGGGTTAGGGTTGCCATAAACGGCAGCCTGCTGTACAGATTGCACGAAACCAGCTTCAGCGCAGGGTCGGTCGTCTGCATTTGCTGCAGACTTTGCCGCCTTCAAGAGAAACCAGCGTGAGCAACTGACTTTCTGATGTTGTCCTGAAGCGTGCTTATTTTCATCAAAAAAATCAAATGCAATATAAGAATAAATAGATAACACCATACAAATGTATACCTTTGTCTGCCGTATTTGCCTATTTTTGATACAAGAACGGCCCGCGCTGCAACTTTTGTTGCTAAATGGGCATCGAGTTGAGGGGCTTAGACCGTTTCGGTGTAGGGTTTATGGTTACAGGGCTTGGGTTTTGGGGTGTGAGGGCGGAGATCCCTCGCCTCAAGAACACCATGACCAACTCAAGTCTAAACCATAAATCCGAAACCCGGACCCTCCACCCCAAAACCGAAAATCCCAAAGCCTGCCCCTGAAACCTGAACCCTCATTGTCATGGCCCTTCCAAAACCACAGAAGAGGAGCCCCACCCCGGGACTTGCAAACGCTAAACCCGAAACTTACTGCTTCTGCATCGGGAATTAGGAGGGAACTAGGGTTTAGGGTTTAATTAGGGTTTAGGGTTTAGGGTTTAGGGTTTAGGGTAATGGGTTTAGGGTTTAGGGTGCGTATGCAGACCCTTTGGAGGGGCATGTCGGGTGAGTTGAGTAAGGTACCTAAGGGTTTAGGGTTTAGGGTTTAGGGTTTAGGGTTTAGGGTTTAGGGTTTCGGGCGCCGAGTTCTCCATGAAGAGCCAGTATCTAGTATCCAAAACCGCCTACACACCCGATGGTGGCCTTTGCACAACATGAGGGGTTTCCAAAATTAGGGGCAATTACCTCGGGGTCCTTATTCTCTCAGAATCCTACCATTTGGGGTCGATTTTTTAGGGGTCCTCTATTTTCTTAAACCCTTAAACCCTCTTCGCAAACCCCCCCGCATGGTAACCCTTAAACCCTATTCGCAAACCCCCCCCCCCCCCCCCCGCATGGTAGCCCTTAAACCCTATTCGCAAACCCCCCCGCATGGTCGCTGGCTTCTTTTGGTTCCAGCTGGGACAGGGAAGCCCCGAGTGGAGGTCAGGGCTCACCAGATTCTACTTGCATAAGTGCCGCGCGTTTACTTTTGCAATTCAGGTTTAGGGTTTAGGGTTTAGGGTTCATACAGGGTTTAGGGTTTTGGCTGACCTTTTGCTGCGACCCGCTGGTGGGCGTAGGACGAACAAGCTTGGGCAAGGTATCGGCAGGGCAGTCTTGCTATGCATGCTAGGCAGGTGGCACAGCAAACATGCCGCAGAAATCGGTCGGCTTAGGGTCGAGGCCTTCCTGGCAGAACAGCAGCAAGGTCTGCCTCTGAGAGCGACATCAGCATTGAGCGTCGAAGTGAGTACCCAAAGCGGTATCGTCCCCAACGGCTTGGCCAGCGCTTCCGCTGCTGCTGCCTCCTTGCAACCATGAAGGCCCCGGCCTCTACAGCCCCTCCTTATCCTAAGGCCCTGAGACCCGAAAACTCGCAAGCCCCCTAAACCCTAAACCCTCAACCCTAAACCGCACTAGAAGCCTTGAATCCAAAACCCCTTGTAGAGACCCAAAACCTCAAAGTTTCTAGGTCTTGGAGTTGAAGACCACCCTAACCCTAAACCCTACAGTCTTTGAGAGTACAGTGTTTACGTTTTGGTATAGACCAGAGTTACTTCGGGGGTTTGGGTAAGTTTTGTGTCTTGGGTTCAGGCCAGAGTCTGGTGTTAGGGTTTAGGGTTTCGGGTTTAGGGTTTAAAGTTTATCTAAGGGTAGTTTCATGGGCCCTGAACAGGGTCCCTTACCTCCTTTCAAGGGTTCTGAAGTATGGGCCCGTATGTAAGGGGTCCCCTTCTACGGGCCCATACTAAGGGACCATGAAACTACCCCAAGAATATACCTCAACATCTGGTCAGGACCCCTCTTGTGATGACAACCGAGGGGCAATCAGAATCTCTTTGTAAAGTTGCCAGGACGCATACACCTCATTATGGGGGGGGGGGGGGGAACAGGCTTTAAGGCGCTTTCTAAGAAAAGGGTTGCCCCCTGCCTGTGCACATATGTATATATATATATATATGTATATATATATATGCACACATACATACATTTCTATACATATATACATATATACACCCTCAATATGGCACAGTCCCCTTGGCTCCCAATTTAACTGCCTCAATATTGCGAAACCCCGTAGAGCACTTAGGGCCCTGCATACCTACACTTGTGACTTGGGCAACATACATGTATAAATAAATAAATATATATATATATATATATATATTATTATATTTATATTTATATTCTATTCATATTTATTTATTTATGTATATATATATATATGTATATACAGCAGGCTGTTTATCTAGACATATGTACACATATTGGTAGGTAGCAGAGGCAGGCCAAGCGCTAAACCATATGACGCCCCAAGCTTCAATCCATGTGGAGAATCTGTGGAGGGTACGAGGCATGGTTTTTTGGGAGGTACAATTATAGCTTGGTAGCCACCCGGTACCGTTTTCACTTTTTAGTTCAAGGTTCCCTTATCAAGGCACCAAGACCACAAAACGGTACACTTATGATAAGATGGTTACTGGGCTACCAAGTACAATAATGACAATTAACAAGGTATCATGAACAATGAGCAGGGCTCGTGTGTTCCCCCCGCCCCGCCGCCCCCCTGCCCGATAGGTTTAGGGTTTAGGGTTTCGGGTTTAGGGGAGGAGTCGTTGCTCTTCTCAGTTTTCGCCGCGATTCTCTTTGGGTTTCGACTCACGGTTTCAGGGTTTAGGGTTTAGGGTTTGGGGTTTAGGGGGTCCGAGGCTACCCTTCAGATCCTGAACCCTCAAAAGCCCAGGATTAAGATCCCAGAGCCTTACCTGGCAGGCACCAGTCCCTCTCTGGGATGCCCAGTAGTACCCTTATTCCCTTTTTGGGGGTTTTAGGTTCCCTTATAAACCCTAAACCCTAAACCCTAAACCCTAAACCCTAAACCCTAAACCCCTTGAAGCAAAAAAGGGGCACCCTTTTTAAGCCTTGGTTACTGGGCAGCCTAGCTCTGCAGGAGGATCCCGGAGCCCTAAACCCTTTAAGGGCTTAGGGGTGAGAGCTGACACCCGAAGCCCTAACAGTCTAGGATCTAGGGTTTAGGGTTTAGGGTTGATATAGGGTGGGTTTAGGGTTTAGGGTGTAGGGTGTAGGGTTTAGGGTTTAGGGTTTAGGGTTTAGGGTTTAGGGTTTCAGTGTTTAGGCTTTCGGGTTTCAGTGTTTAGGGCGTCAGAGAGTTTCCCCTGTTGCGCCAGACAACCGGAACCAGCGAATCCGAGAACACGGACAAGATGAGGGCGTGGGGAACTTGGCCTCAGCTCCTTTAGGGTTTAGGGTTTAGGGTTTCGGGTTTAGGGTTTAGGGTTTAGGGCTCATGATCAGGGTTTAGGGCCCAGTGTTTAAGGCTTACAAGGGTTTGAGGTTTAAGGGTTTAGGGCTCGCAAGCTTCACGGTCTGAGGTGGTGGGGTTTGCAAGCGTCCAGGGCCTTCCCTGCACAGAAGTTCACCCTCACTGTAAGTAGAATCGCGTACGTGCTCCTGCCCTAAACCCTAAACCCTAAACCCTCAACCCTAAACCCTAAACCCTAAACCCTAAACCCTGAACCAGAGCTGGAGGTCCTCCCAGGCCAGCTCTGCACGCCGAAGTGATCGTGAAGCCAAAGTACTGAAAGCTTGTTTAGGGTTTAGGGTTTAGGGTTGAGGGTTGAGGGTTGAGGGTTT